GGCATAACTTCTATCAACATGCCCAAAGCACGCAAGACAAAACTTCACCATTCTTGCTTCTACGAAGCAATGGTACTAGGTAATAATTAGAAAAGGGAAATGTAAACACAGAGGAGATAAACCCAGGGAGAGCGCTGATTGGCTTCAAAGGCGGTTATTAACACAAGGAGAGTTATTTCCTCAGTGCACGTGGCTCTCTCTAGCTGCTGGGAACTATACAAAGAGATTGGAGAGGTCATCTAGGGAGCTGGCAATTCCTGATGCCCATTCCAGGGACAGCATGATCTGAAGTTTTCACAGAGTTTAGAGCAGTCCCACACTGAAGCTGTGCAGGCTGCCGAAAGTCCTGGCTCTGAGGGGCGGCGGCTGGGCAGCCTTGGCTCTGCCACTAGCTGACTTTGAACTTGGGACAGATTCTTTCATCTCCTTGAACCTTATTTCCTTCATGATAAAACACAGAGAGTGTTTGAAAACAGGACAGTGAGTCTCTGACCCCTTTTTTTAGCTCTAAATGGTTTTTTAAATTATTATTAAATTTTATTAGTTTTAGTGAACATTTACAGAGATTTTGGGTTTTCATTCATTCATTGTTGCACTGTTTTCTCTACCCTCCTCCCCAGTTTGTTCTTCTTCCCCCCCCCTCCAAAGCTCTAAATGTTTAAGAGGACATTTAAGTAGCACCATCTACTTTGATATGGAAGAAGTAGACACGGACTTGTTATTTTGGGGTTGGGTTGTTTTCTTTTTTTATTTATTTAAAATCTAGAAATTTTTAAAAAAAAACAACACAACCTAGAAATGTTTTAGAAAAGGGACCACCAGGTCAACCTGGTAGGTTTGAGGTCAATGAATGTCTTCAGTTCTCCCCAAGTTTAAAAATCGATTACTGTTTTTAGGTGCCAGAGGAAATTCTGAGAGCCAGTGTTTTCTTTCTTAACCACATTAGCTCTAGGTCTGTTCTATCTAGTGTACAGAGTGGCCTTGACAAAGCAATTGAGACTTGTTATTAGGCCATGGACACTGTGACACCCTGATGGATGGATACAAGGCCAGCTTACTGGATGGGCTGACTGTGTGGCAGGTAGGCTCCTTTGAGCGATGATGCAACTCACTCTGTCTCTTCCTGAATTAACCTCGCAACACTGGGTGGAAGGAATTCTGCTCAACTTAGCCATTAAAAGAGAACTTTCCAACCGAAAGACTCTTGGGGTTCATTGAACTCCAAAGACGCTTTGGGTATCAGCTAAGAGTGGGGAGCGAGAAGGAAATAAAGTGAAAGGCCATTTCATTACCTTTCAGCTGGAAAAACAATCAGATTACTCCTGGCTTACATAATTAAGTAGCTGCCATAATCAGATGCTTTGGATGTTTTTGATGAGAAACCTGCCGCTTTTAATTTTAGCAGAAGTTTCAGCAGCAGAAGCTGGAGACCGTGTTCTGGGCAAATCCTAACTTTTTGGGGGAAATGGGCACTTTGAATGAAATAATAAAATAAAGAAAGAAGAAGGAAAAAAAAAAGAATGGAAGAGAGGGGCCTCTATCACGTAAGATACTTATCTAAAGTGGATTTGGCCTGGGAAAATCTTCTCAAGCCTTCCACATGACTGGGACTGTGTAGGGATAAGAGAGCCATGCAAATCCCAGAGTAGCCTCCCTCAGTCCGTGTCCACAGTGGGAGGTCTCTCCTGAATGCCTACTCAAGATGCCCTGGGCTGCTTGTCACACCCACGCCCAAGTCCCCTGGAAACCTGCTTTGTGTTCTGAGCACTGAGGAGAAGAACTGCCAAAGACCTCAGACCCCAAACTATTTTTAGGGTGACTGAAGGGTTAGGAAACAAAGCAGAAGAAGAGGAGGCAAAACCAGCTACCAAGTGGATTCTGATTCATGGTGACTGACCCCATCCTCACCTGGGTTAGAATAGAACTGTGCTTCAAGGTACTTTCAAGGCCTGATTCATCTTATTCTTTTTTTTTTTTTTTTTCGTCAGAAATAGACCACTAGGTCTTTATCCCAAAGCACCTCTGGGTAGCCTTGAACTTCCATCCTTCTGGTTAGCAGCTGGGGGTTTGAACCATTTGTATCTCCCTTCCCCAGTGATCTGGATGAGGAAATAATATGACTACAATCCATGAAACACGGAAAATGTAGGGGTAAATATCAAAAGAGTGGGTTAGGCTGCAGTTAGAGGTATAGTAAGAAAAGACACAGTCATGAAGTGAAAAAAGCAGAAACACATGGCAAGCTAGTGCTTTCCTTCTTGAAGGTCAAAATGTTGAAAGGTATTGTAAGGGAAGTTTGAAAATATTCTTGGAATTATTGCCAATGAATTTTCTACACAGGTCATCCTAACTTCATTTCTCTGAACTGTAAATAGAGGTGTTTCTGAGGAAGAAGTTGGGTTTGCACTTTTGACCCGTATTTTCAGCCCTTATTTTATTCCAAATGTTTAGCATTCTTATAGCCCAAATGGACAAGTTTCTCTCTAACAGCATGGGGTGGGAGAAACAGAGAGAGAGACAGGGGTAGAAAGGTGGATCATTGCGAAGGAATGTTTGCACAATGATTTAGAGTTAACCACGAATGTCCAGGCTAAAATAGATTAGGAAAAAAGGCCCAGGGAACAACTTTTGAAAATTAGCCAAAAAAAAAAAAAAAAAAGAGCTATGGGAAGTCACAGCATATTGTCCAAGATAGTGTTGAGAGATTATCTCCCTCAAAGGCTGTACACTCAAAAAACCAAAAACCTCCAACAAACCAAAATAAACCTCTTTCAAACTCTTTGCTGTCAAGTTGAGAATGAATTCATATCTGACCCTCCAGAAAATCTACAAAGGCTGAAAATCACATGTGAGGAGATTGCTCATCTTTCTCCCTCAGAGAGCAGCTGGCGGGTTTGAACTACTCACCTTCGGTTTGGCAATGAAACTTGTTATCGACTAAGCCATCAGAGCTCACCTAAGGACTAAAATCACTCTAAATAGTCAAAGGTCCTTACATACCAAGAAGATTATGAAGACTGCAAGAAGCTAGGGAACAGTCTATGCTGTCAACATTAAGTCCATGTAAAAGAACGTATCACTTGGAATAAGAAGAATCAGGAAAGGAGCTGACTTCCCAGCTGACCGCTGAGTCATCTAAACTGTGCTAGTTTTCTGTACTTGGAAAGTGTGAATGACATGCTCTTTGCTTACTTAGAAGGATTTCGATGAGGTGTAAGGAGCTGTGGTAGGGAACTGTGCTTTTTTTAAAAAAAAAAAATATATATATATATATATAGCAGATGAAGTTCTGTAATAAGGAGAATGGAGGTGGTTGTTGCTGTGTACCACAAAGTCAGGATAGACCCATAGCTGACCCTCCAGTGGGTTTTCAGAGACAGTTAATCCCACGGGAGGAGATTGTCCATCCTTCCTGTGCGGAGCAGCTGGTGGCATTGAACCGTGTTCTTTTGAGATTGTAGGGCAGGTTCTTGACACTAGGCCATCAGTACTAATTATTAGTAATCACCCATTAGAAACCTTGGTGGTTAAAGCTTAGCTTTTAACCAAAAGGTGAATAGTTTGAATCCCCTAGCTGCTCCATGGCAGGAAGCTGTAGCAACCTGTTTCTGTAAGATTAGTTCTGGAAACCCTAAGAGGGCACTTTTACCCCATCCCGAGCGGGTCTGCGAGTGAAAATTGATTGAAAGGTAGGGGGTTTTGGTCTAAGTATCCATTGTAGATAGTAGTCTAGAATTCTAGATCTCTAGGACCTCGATTTAAGGTAGATTCAAGTCTGGATACCCTTAAGCTCCTTGCTAAATATAGAAAAATCTACCTGCCCGAGTCATGGTTACCGTTTGCTCCTGCCCTTGCTACTTTTTTGTCCTTTGTCCTACATAGTCCTGTACTTTCCCTTGTCTGCCTAGAACTCTCTCCTCCCCGGCCAGTCCTTCTCCTTGTGTTCATTTTAGCTCGGGGGTCCCTTCTTCAGAGAGACCCTCTCTTACTATTTTATGGGAAGTAGTGCTGTCCCCAGCCATTTCCATTTCTGGGTCCTTCATAACATACATCACTACAGAAAACTACCAGGCGTGTTCAGGGTTTACTGCTCTACTCTCCTATAAATTCCAAGATAGCAACGGTTTTGCCTTGCTCATCCCAGCATCCAGAACAGTGTTTGTTGACTGAATCCACAACCTCAGTTTCTGGGGGTTTGGAGAACCAGGGGAAACAACCAGCTATGTGGCCAGCTCCAAACGTTAGCTGATCCAGAAAAATCAGAGACAGGACCTTCTCTCTGGGTCTTCCCGCTGGCCTTGCCTACGGAGGTGGAAGGCTAGTGCCTTCTCCCTTGCATTCCTGCTAACATAGCCAGCAGCTCCAGGGCCCAGCCATCTGACCTGCAGAAGGAACCCTGCTGGTGGAGATGGTGCTAGTCGATTCTGGTTTAGGTTAGAGACGCCTAAGGGCAGGGTGGATGTGGGGCGAAGGTGTGGGCAAGCACCGAGGGAGCAGCGGCCGCGGTGGTGGAGCCCGGGCAGCGAGCGCGGGTCCCGGGTGCGCCCCAGCCCACCCACTCGCGTGCCCACAGCCGCCTTATTCCCTATAAGGAGTTGAATGGTCCGGGCGGCCCCGCCCCGCGCCCCCTGCCCCGGCCCCGCCCCTTTCGGAGGGCCGATGAGGTAATGCGGCTCTGCCATTGGTCGGAGGGCCGGGCCGCCCGCGCCCGGGGTGGGAGGGAGCCACCGGACCCGCGCTATATCACTCGGCCCACGGCGGCTGCAGCGCAGAGTGGGTAGCGGGCGGTGCACCAGAGCTCGGACGCCTTCGCCCCCTGCGCCTCCTCTCCGGCTCCGGCGACGCCAGCTCCTGCGCCCCGAGAGCGCCTTGCACAGAGTGTGCCCCGACCCCGAGGCAGCCTCGGCGGGTCCGGTTCGGGCCCCTCGGAAAGCAGCGCGCCTAAGGCCAAAAGTTGCCCGGTTCGTCTGGGCGGCGAGCTCGGCTGCAGCAGCCCCACCGGTGGCGCGCACAGCAACTTTGGAGAAGCGAGTCCCAGCCGCCGCTATGACTCCCTGGCTCGGGCTCATCGTGCTCCTGGGCAGCTGGAGCCTGGGGGACTGGGGCGCGGAGGCGTGCACATGCTCGCCCAGCCACCCCCAGGACGCCTTCTGCAACTCCGACATCGGTAAGTTGGGGGGTGGGGGGCCCTGCTCAATCTCTCGCGACGCCGGTGCGCTGCAGCTGGCCAGGGGTGCTGCTCGGGTGGTATGCCTAGCCCCTCTCTTTTTCCCCCTGCAAACGGGGCTAGGAGACTGTTTCTTCGAGCGAGGGGCGAGGGAATGAATTTCCCTACAGAGAAATCCCCAAATAGACGAAGGAACCCCTGTGCAAACTTTGGTTCTTTGAGGACCATGAAGTCCCTATCGGTGCTTTTGGCATCTGGAAAATTCGTCCACTGTTGCGGGAGAAAGTGCTGGAAAGGAGTAGGGGAGAGGCTTCCTAAAATCTGCTATGTTAACGAAAGTGCTGGGATGCTGAGTAGTTCTTTTTCTTTTTTAAAGTAAGTTCCAACCATGTGCATAGAAGTTTGTAGGAAATACTTGTAGTATTCCAGAGTTTGCGTCGTCCGCATTGGTGAAGCTCAGCCTTTTCGAGAGAATCAATCCAGCCCTGCACCCAGCCCCGTGTTTCTTAGGCAGATGTTTCTGGTACTGTGAACTGCAGACTGCCAAGCTGGTGTGGATTTAGGGGAGGAGGAAGAAGGAAAGGCTTGGAGTTGATCCTCTCCCTGGAGGAGCGGAGTTTGAGTGTTGATAGCCCGCCTGAGGTGGAGTGTGTGAGCAATCACTTACCACATAGTTGTGAAAATTCGCAGGAAGGCAGTTTACCCCTCCTTGTAATAGCATGGGGAGGGGGCTTGTTGGAGAATGAGCAGCAGAAAATAGATTTGTCACTGAAAGGAACCAGAACGGCAAGGGTCAAACCATGGTGCCAGTCCCAGGCTGGACTTGGTGAGAAAGGCCAGGGTGAGAGGTGGAACCAGTTTTTATGGAGGCTTTGGGAGTGTCCTGGGAAAACTTGTTTGGGACACTTGTGTTTGGATGTCCAGAGGTGGAGCAGCAGCTGTGAACCATCCCTCCCTCCTTTCCAGCTCATAAAGCATGCCAGCTCAGTGACCCCTGGTGTGTGTGTGTGTGTGTGTGTGTGTGTGTGTGTGTGTGTGTGTGCGCGCGCGCGCACAGGGACACGCTGGGTCTGCAGTGGCAATTCAGAGGTGAAGAAAGGAGCGTGTGTGTTTTCAGTACAGACATAAAGAGAAAGCAAATTTTCCACTGAGTCCTGGGTGAGGGGGAGGTGGCTGGAGCCTGGCAGCAGGGGGGAGCCTGGAACAGGAGGGGCACTGCTAGGCTGAATGTAGGAGAAGACAGAGAAGTGGCTGTGGTGACCAGAAGCTCAGTCCAGTTGGCAGCCGTGGGCATCTGTGTGACCTGGGGTCACCCTAGCTAGATATTTCCTGGGACCTGCTCTGGGCACCCCTCCCTTTCTCCTTGGGCTGGGGAGGATCCTGGTGCCTGCAGCCTGGGAATGCGCACCCCCTCATCTCTGACTCGCCCTTACCCGAATTCCAGTGGCCCAGTGGGTGATACTGCCATATGACTGGTGCTGGACTTGCTCTTGCCCTCGACTGTGGTCTCAGCAAGTAGCCTTAGTCAAGACAGGTGGGGATAAGGGTGGGTGCACTCACCCTTGAACCACTTCACTGACTGAGTTGGGTGTGTTCCTGGGGACTTTTCTGGCAAGGAAGGGGCTCTCATCCTCCCCACTTGCTTTGCTTTTTGGTCCCCACATTGGAATTTCACAGGGTGCAGTGGAAATGGGAGACCAGTGTTCCTGTTCCCAGAAGGGCTGGATTGACTCTGTTTTCTCCATGCCTATTTCTTGCCAGGGGTTGGGGCTGAGGCAGACAGTCACTTGCAATTTCATTGGGTTTTATTTTTGAAACAGCTTATCCCCTGCCCTCATCCCTACTTTCATAAACTAAGCTAAGAAACCGGAAAATGTCCAAACGCCGGAGCGTTGGGGTCTAGCAAAAAAGAAGAGAAGAATCTTGGATGCACTGAAACAAATCCAAGCGTGTTCCGCTTGGCTCGGTGCACTGCCCTGGTGGAAGCAATGAGCTAATCCTCTCACATACACGAGGTGTGGAGGGAGGTGTGGATATGGGCTGCTGCCTCTCTGATCTCTGGTTGATGACAAAGCCCCTGCTGGTGTCCAGTAGGTGGCTCCAGACTGTCCCAGCTCAGAGCCTTTCTGGTTTGCCTTCCAGTCTGGGTTGAAGCCCTGTTCCTTCTCTCCCTTGATTCCTTCCATCTGCCCTATGACCCCACTAATTGACTCCAAGCCCCCTAAAAAGCCTGCCGGCTTCTCCTTCCGGAACCTTCCTGTGGCTGTCTCAACCACCTGGTGCCATGTTGCCTGGCTCTTTTACAGCGTTTTGCAGGCTCTTCTCATCCACAGGTGTCTCTTTCTGCCTTGTTCTCCCTAAGCCCTAGGGACTGGCAAGGACCTTCTGGGTGAGGAGGAGTTAAAAGGTGTTTCTATGGCAACCCCAGGACCAGTACGGAGCACAAGTGTTTAGGAGAAGAATAAACTACATGCTGGCTTATAAAACACACTGTGGGGGAAAGAAAAGGACTTGGCAGCAGCCAGGATGTGTGTGCCCCCCACCAACCAGGCATCGCCCCTGAAACTTCTGACAAGACCTTGACTTTGCGGAGGAAGGGCAAAGGGAGGTGGGAGTGGAGAAGGCGGCCCCCCTGAAGTGGAGGGCCCCTCTGAACTGGAGAGCCCTCTGAACTGGAGGGGTTCTGTTTTAGCAACCCTGTCCAGCTCAGGAAGAGGGAGAGTGCCCAGAGCTTTCTGAGGGGTGAGAGTGAGTGTATGCGTGTATGCATATGTGGTTTTTGCAAGGTTAGGGCAACCAAAAGGCAGAATTCTGCTTTAGCATGCCAATCCCTTTCTCCAGCCCCATTTCCATCCATGGGCTGTCAGTTTGGGGACCTGACCACAGTGTGAGGCCCACGGCCAGTGCTGGTGGATGGATCCTGATATCCCCCAATTGTTTTGATTTGGGCCGGTGCCAGCAGATTCTTTTAGTATCAGATCTAGGTTGGTGGTTTTAGCAAAGAAGCCATTTTCAAAGGAGCCAAATCAATTCTCACTCTGTCTCCCACACACAGTCACACCCTGACTGGGCTTTGTGACTTAAAAATGGAAAAAAGAAAAAAGAAAAAAGAAAAAAAAGAGATCAGACTTCAGAGAGTTTGGGGCCCAGGAGCTAGAGGCCTTGAGGATAATGCAGAGAGGAGAGCTGCTATTGGCTAGAGAAAGGCGGGAGGAGGGGGGAAGGACCACTCTCAGTCCTCCATGGGGAGCAAGCTATTTGAAGTCTCTCATCTACCCAGCAACCTTAAGAGTTGTTACTTTCCCATTCTCCAGATGCGAAAAACTGAGGCAGAGTGAGGTAGGGCTTGCCTAACTCTACCTCAGTGGCTAAATTGAAAGACTAAACCTCTCTTAGGTATGTCATCCTTCAAAAGCTTTCCCCTTTTCATGAACCCTAAGGCAGGTGTTCCAAAAATAAAGAGGTGCAACCAGGGTGCCCCTTAGAGGCAAGGATGGGAAACTTTGCCTCACATATTCGAGCATGTTGTCAGGAAGTGCTGTTTTTAAAAGAAGACAGCATGCAGGGAAAGGTAGAGGAGTGAGAGAAAGAGAGATGCATCCTCGTCGAGGTGCACTGACACAGGGACTGTGGGCTTCCATAAGGTGGAGATGGTGGGGATGCCACAGGAAAAGGCAGCCTGTTGAGTCAAGGTAGACCCTTAGTGACCCTGAGAGCAACGGGTCTGAACCCCGTCCTGTCCTCACGATCTCTAACACACGCGACAAGCCCATTACTGCAGTCACAGTAAAGTCAGCCCCCCTGGTTGAGGGTCTTCCTCTCATTCACCTGTCAGGGTCAAGTTGATGGCATCTGACAATATCAACTATCATGTGAGAGTGAGCTTGGCTCGCAATGGGCAGAAGCCCAGTGTTAGCAGGTGGGGAAGCCAGACAGTGAGCAGGGAGGCCGAAGCTGACCGGAAAAAAATGTCTTCCTACCACTTTCCAATTTGCGGTCCTTTCACAACTCTGGGTAGACAAAGCTGGAAAAGTGGCTGCAGAAGTAGCTTATATGGAAGGGTTTCTGCTTGTTTTGCAAGAACTGCGGGAACCATTTAACTCAACTGCTGAATGGTGCATTCCAACAGGTTCATTAATATAAAACAAAATCAAAAACACAATTCTGCATTGCATTTGGCCGTTACCGCTGCAGCCGCGATGGACAAGGAGGCCCCTCCTTCTAGCCTTTGTTATAGTCCATTCCTGGGTGGCTTCGATGGACCATATGGCGTGGTGGGGAGCTCAGCTCCTCCCTCTGTGCGTGCATTACTGGACATTGTTAAGCTGTAGTTCCCTCATTGATAAAACCAGAATGGCAACAGTAAATCCATTGCCACTGGGCAGTTCTAACTCATGGTGATCCTGTATATGGTTGAGTAGAACTGTGCTCCAGGGGGTCCCCAACGGCTGACTCTTTGGGCAGTAGACTGCAGAGTCGGTGAAAGAGATAAAGAACCTCAAGGAGATGGATTGACATAGTGACCTCAGTGGTAGGCTTGAGTGTGATGGGGATCATGATGACGACGTGGAGGGGGCGAGCGGATCTGTTATTCATGGGGTCACAGTAGAATCGACAGCACCTAACCACACACTGCAGGTGTTTCTTCAGAGGTGGTCTGGATGGCCTTGAACTTGCAACCTAGTTAGCAGCTGAATGCATGATTTATTTTTTTTTACACAACGGGGAATAATTTATACTGCCTTGGTTCTTTAATTGTTAAAATTACTATTATAATTTGAATATGTTCTATGCACACTTCTCTCCCTCTGTATATCTGTCTCTACTCATCTTTATCTGTTAATCTCTCTTTGTAGAACTCTATGAAAAAGTCCTTTTTTGATCACTATCCCAAATTCTGTTTCCTCCTATACCCTTTCTTCTCTATGCATTTCTGAGCATAGACACCGGCAGAAAGTCTACCTATTGCTTTTTCCTTTTTTTACATATTATTTCTGTTT